GATATGGTGGCTGTCGCCTGTAATCCCAGCACTTTGGGAGGCTGAGGCAGGTGGATCATGAGGTCAAGAGATTAAAGCCAGCCTGGCCAACATGGTGAAACCCCATCTCTACTAAAAATACAAAAATTATCTGGGCAGGGTGGCAGGCACCTGTAATCCCAGGTACTCGGGAGGCTGAGGCAGGAGAATTGCTTGAGCCCAGGAGGCAGAGGTCACAGTGAGCCAAGATTGTGCCATTGCACTCCATCCTGGGTGACAGATCAAGACTCAATCTCTAAAAAAAAAAGAAAAAAAAAAGTTTTCTGTAGAGACCTGGCGGACACAGTGACTCTTGCCTGTAATCTCAGCACTTTGGGAGTCCAAGGCTGAGCAACATGGTGAAACACCATCTCTACTAAAAACACAAAAATTAGCCAGGCATGGTGGCGTGGGCCTGTAGTCCTAGCTACTTGGAAGGCTGAGGCAGGAGAATCGTTTGAACCCTGGAGGCAGAGGTTACAGTGAGCCAAGATTGCACCACTGCACTCCAGCCTGTGTGACAGAGTGAGACTCCATCTCAAGAAACAAACAAAAAAAACAATATTGACAGCAATATGTCAGAAAGACCCTCTCCCACCTATGTCCTTCCTTTTTCTGGATCCTCCAAAATCCTCTGGGCAAAAATTCTTAACTGATGCAACAATCCAGCCTGCATGTCAATTCAAAGTCATATTTCAATTCTTCCCACTACCAGCAGTGGCCAAAAAAGTGGTATTTGCATACATAGAGCTCATTGCAAGAGACTGATTTCACAGTCCCTCCATTCACTTCCATTGAACTTAAAGGCTCTTGCACTTGGCTGAGAAAAACAAGATTTAAAACATTTCTTTTAAAAAGGCAGCACCTGGCTCAGTTTCATCCAGCAACTACGTTCTACTTCAAAAGGAAGAGGAGGCAGCAGCAACCGCTTGCTGTTCCTAGATAGCTTTCTACCACAGGAAGTGTGAGAGACCTCGGCACAAGTAAAAGCTGTTCGGGGAAACTCACTAGAATGCCAGTACATTTAGTCAATGGTTCCTTCCATATGTAAAACACCCCTGCTGCCCTGCAGAGAGCAAGGGGGGAAAAGGGCCAAGAAAAAGGAAGGGAGACGTTAGAATGGAGGTAGAACGGTCCTTCCAAAGACAAGAAAGGCATAAAACACATTAGGAGAAAGTAAAAGAAAAAGCATAATAAAGAATAAAATGCCCAAAAAGAAAACAAAAAAAGGCCAAAAACGAAAGAAGGGGAAGAAATTTATAGTAAAAAAAAACAACAAAAAACTGAGGAAAGGAAAAATTTATAGTAAAAACTGAGGACGGGCTCGACGTTTATAGTAATAAAGCTAGAATATAAAAAGACAACTGGGATCAAAAGGCTGACGACTAAAAGTAGAAAGCCCAAGGAGAGGGGGAAATCAAGTGTGCAGGAAAGGCAAGATACAGATGAAGGTGGGGGAGGGGAGACAAATCAGATGGGAGAAGGAAGAGAAACAAAGGGCAGGGACAGTGGAGATCCAGCCCTCCCACCTATCCATTCTGGAAGACCAGCCCAGACAGCAATCAGTTAACTCTCATTAAAATGGAAAGTGGCAGTCCCAGAGTTCTAAGCACGGACTCCTCATCTTTGCAAAGATAAAGGAACACTGTCTGCCATTTCCCATATATCCTGATTCTGAAATTTAACTGAAACTATAACTTGGCTTTAAAGACAGAGAGGTTGACAAGCTAATTAAAATCTCTTCATTGGGGAAAAGGGAGGACACATATGACTAATACCGATAAAACTGGGAAACACTGGCCGGGTGCGGTGGCTCAAGCCTGTAATCCCAGCACTGTGGGAGGCCGAGGCGGGTGGATCACGAGGTCAAGAGATCGAGACCATCCTGGTCAACATGGTGAAACCCCGTCTCTACTACAA